CCATATCTTGCATGCAACCAGAGTGATTCTCTATCCTCTTTTAAAAGCTATGATCATTCATAAATGTGAGCTTTAATATGGCAAAGCATTCTGTCTTGGCATTCTTCATGGGAGTGTGATTCAAATGGATGGCAAGAAATTTTGTGCATCTCATATTCAGCAAAGATAGGTGATTTCTGTATTTTTGTCCTGAGTCCTCGATCCAGTTGGCTGCACTGTCTGTATTGCCACATCATACACTTGAAACAATTTTACATTTTACGAACATTGGAGATGGCACAGTTTGATGGCACCAATTGAGCAAATTGGTTGTTGCTCAGTTTATATTTTGTGAAATTCTGTGGTGAAAGTTCACTGTACTGCATTACCCACCTGTACTTCCATGACTCGTTACGCATGTCATACATCTTTCAATGTCTGTTATGTCTACAAAATGCAAATAGCAACATTTTAATATAGCACACCTACACACAAGTGTGGCGGCTTCCAAGAAAGAAAAAAATAAAATCAGCATCTGAAGTTATGGACATGTTGGTAGAATTTGACATCAGAGTATGAAGAGTATGCTGGGTAGAACATTACTTGTTCTATGTCAATGTCAGCAAAAGGACTTTAATTTGAGCATTTAAACCTTATTAAATAACAGCATTACATATCCTCAATTGAGTAATGTAATGTAATATATTTCAGTTCAAATGTTTTTGAACCACCCAAAATTGTACTCACGTTATTTTACTTGCAAGAAGCAAAACTTTCTTTAAAACTTTTTAAAGAGGTTTTGATCAATAATTCTTCAGGCATTCTGAAAGTTTTTCAAAGTTCTTCTATGAAGGGGAGAGCACATTGTGAGTACTGAATTGGATCTTATTTGTTTTTACTCATCAGGTGGTACCTTTTTTTTTTTTTTTTTTTTTTTACTGAAGTGGGTCAAGACATAGGAGATTACTGGGCAACCTTGTTTTTACTCCTTTTCTATCATTACGTACCATGGAAGCATGTTGGCATGTTTCAAAAAGAGCAAGGTGGAAAAGTGGAGACTGAAGGACGTGTCACTTAAAAAAAAGAAGGTAAAAACTAAAGTAAAGGTTTAAAAAACAGCAAGACAAAATACAGAAACATATGCCATAGAAGCTGAAAGTTTAATAACCTTTCAGCTGATCATCAATGGTGTAAATTGAAATTATTCAAACCCCTGACAAATTTAGCTTTGAAGTAATCTTAGTTTTATCAGGATGACCCTCCAGACTGGATGCAGTTTTGAAATGATGGGGTAACTCAAAATGTTCATGTCATTTTTATAAAAATTAAAATACATACTTATTTAAAAAAGTAATAATTGATACACACCTTACATTGTACTATTTCCCTTTGATGTCATTAAATGTTACTATAATAAACAAACTTTACAATGAAAATAATTTGAAATCTAAATCTGACAGCAGTGTGAATAATTTTGAACTTAATGGTTTATATGCCATCTTTTCAGTTGAAAGCTCTTTGGGATTCACCTTAATATTTTTTAGTCGTTGCTATTGTCAGGTTGACAGGCTGCTACTAGCAAAGAAAGAGTCAATTTAAAATTGGTTGTCTCTTATGCTCTGATTCAACCGGAGCTTAGGAGCCTTTTTCAGAGTTGAGTGGGATAACAATTCTTGTAAAATACTCACATACTGGACTGAACTGAGTCACAATATGTAGAAAAAAAATTGGAAGACTTTCAGAAACAGTCAGACAAAAATGCCATCATTGGAAGCAAAGTGTAATGGAACATTAAATGTCTTAAAACTGTTACACAACAAACATGGTGGCTCACTAGCAAGGTGTCAATAATACAGTGGTAGTTTGTACTGCTACAAACTACAGTTAGTCATTTAAACGTTTCATAAGGTTTTGAAGTTGTCATATTGGACAGATAACAGACCGCATACTGATGACAGATCATAAACGTGGTGAAAATGGAAAATATCTTAGACCTTCTAAAATAAATGCATTCTCAATAAAACTGTAAAACTTACCTAAGATTATTTTGTTAATTTGGCTGAAATGGTTGCTCTGTCTCTTATTTCAGGAGGTTTCTCACATTTCTGAAGTCTAAATGCTTTTTTTTCAAGAACTCTCTGCAAGTGTAATTCTAGCTTGTCTGGTAGATTAAATATATTTTCTAACATCTGTGTCCTTAATGAGCAAAAAAAAAAAAAATGCTTGGTTTCTCCTAACTTTTCACTGAAAACCAATAAGATGACAGAAACATCTTCAAAATTGTGTATTTGAATATATTTATTTTATCTTATTTTTTATTTTTTTTTGTACACATTGTAAGACGAGGAAAACAATTATTCTGCAAGGATGTTTTCAGCTCTGTAAATGTAATTTATGTTTCAAGAAGAAGCAGCAGAGAGAAGTGCTGCACTTCAAACTGTCAGCAGCACACTTGTTAACTTTAATCAATACAGAGAAGGTAATCTTGTCCTCTGAAAAGATAAGAAACATAAAAGGAGCTGAGATTTTAACAATGATTTGTGGAAAGTAGGTCAGTGCACATGGAGAGAAAGACAATATAGCAACCAGACTCAGATATAAAACAGGAACATTTATTTTCTATTATCACATTTGTATTATCCATAAAAAGTCACATATGGCAAATTCTACAATCTTGTCAAACTGGGAACATCAATTGCATTTTTAATCATTTCATAAATCAGCTTTAAATGTATTCCCCCTACAGGATTTAAACAAACAGGCATAAAAATGATTACTTGTGTTTTAGCTGCAACATTTCCCAAATGAACATGCAAGCAGAAATGATTACAGTCATGCCAGTACCTTCCCAGCTGGCATGTCTGTCCCAGAATACATCACATCATTGTTATATCCAATATATGTCAGAGTCAGCAGCTTGAGCTTACACAGACAGGGCAGCTTAGGCCAACAACATGACTAATCACTGGTAATAATACTAACAGGTATGACTCACATTACAGAGGCTTTCCTTGCAATCTCCAATGCATTTTTCATTTTGTGACACTGATGCCAAAAATAAAGAAGCTGCTCATTTTTAATCTGAAGATTATTCAAGCTTTGATTAATTTGCATTCTTTGCTCTAATCCATCAAGTTTGATGATCTTTCTTGCTCAACAAAGCCTTACATAAAACAACAATTTTATCGAGTCTGTGATGGGAATAAATTATGTCCATATGACATGGAAAAATATAGGTTCAGGACACTGAACATAATTATTACACTCCTAACAGTCTTTTGTGATATGAATATTTCATAAAATTCGTCTCTGTCCTAGAAGCAAATATCTGATACATTTCCAGCATAACATACAATCTATATAAGCATCTGATATGACACTTTTACACTAAAGTTGAACACTTTGTGTTCATATTTTCAAGAAGTCTTTACCCTAATTCTGAGATATTGAAATGTTTTCCCAAGGTTAGCATGCTCCATGTCAGACAGGATTCAAAAGTCCCTTCTGTTATCAACTGAAAGTATTTTTCTGTCTTGCAGCCTGAAGAAACTGCTGACATGCGTTGACATGTTGAAAATGATTTTCTTTTAAATTGCTTCTTACATCTCGCATATTTTTCTGACTTTATATTAAAGAATGTAACTGTTAAAATTTTGACTTCTTAACTCACTGAAGTCTTTTTTTTTTTTTTTTTGTCTTTACTTCCACACCAGTGCTTGCTGGTAGAGCTGACATACTTTCACAAAAATCAGATTTTTGACTTTCTCATTGTCGGATAAGCAGTCAAGACTAATAACCATAAAAAAATCAGTTTTGACTAATTTTTCTGTGCATCTTTCAATGTCCAATCTTTCTAAAAACTGAATGACAAAGGACTATTTGGCTGTTCTATCACCTTTTTGGGAAAAATTATTGGTACACCTGAGTAAAGATGCTTAGAGTTGTGATTAGATCATATGTAATTGATCTAAATTAGGTGTTACAGTATTTATAGTCTTCATATTTTACAATCAGGCCCTTCTTCAGTTTGGAAAAAATGCAAAAACAATACTGGAGCAGATGTTCACATTGTGTGTCTGTGTTTGAGAAACTTTACTTGAGCAGTTCTCCGTTTGTAGTTCTAATTTTGTTTAGTGTTTGAGCCCAGTAGGAAGATTTGAACTTTGTGCACTTTTAAGCATAATGAACCAAACTGCCTCTCATGACCAGGAATCCTTTTACTGAAGAGAAGGGACATCTTTGGAGTCTCATTGTAAATGTAGTGCTTGTTTTTTTTTTATTGTTGTTTTTTGTGTCTCTGTTGTATTTATACGACATAGTGTAGCACCTTCAGACATTTTGCAGTTCTTGATATTTTCCCTGTTTTTTTTGTGTTTTATTTTTCCTTATACAAAAGCAGATCTTTGCTGTTTAAGTGCGACTGCACCTACACTCTGTTCTTCTAATCTCTTTCCTGAACTCGCTGTTTATCTGCTCTACCTTTCTTGCCTGTAGGTCTTCCTCTGTGTCTCGGCTCTGTGTGTCTTCAGTGTTTATTGTCATTGTTCCTCTGAAACCATGCCTGTGCTGTCATAAAGCAGCACAGATCCAGTCTGTGCTGGATTGAGAGGGCAAAAAACATTATTGTTTTTGGGAAGATTTTCACTGAGGAAAAAAGCTGATACGTACACTGATAAAGACTACAATTCATAGGTCTTAGTTTCCAGATTGTGAAAACATATTTGCCCCCCCAAAAATGACCATGTCTGAAATATGGAGGGGATGACTCTTATTTTTTTTCTTTTTTAATGAGTGGTGCATGCCAGTTTGCTAACATGTTTATCACAGCCATGCATCTCAACATCTGATGACATTATGCTTTGTCAAGCCAGGTTGAATTGTTCCAAAACAGATGGAAACATCCACAATTTGTAATTTCTTTTTTGTGACATTTTAAAAGTTTGCTTAAAATTTACATGACACTTAGATTGAAACATAGCTACTCACAGTTTTAATCATTCTGCTTCATTCTTTCTCTGCAGGGTCTCTGTTCCATACCAGGTGAAGCACTGTAGGCTGCCAGGCCCCTGCCACCATTACCTTCCCTCCTCCTCAAGAGGCGTCCTCCTTTACACAGAATCCCTCCACCCCACCTGGCCTCACCTGGCAAAACCCCATCAGACAACCACCACTGGCCTTCCCTTTACCCCATGGTGGCCCCAAGGCCCACCCTCTCACTGCTACTGGCTATCCTGGCCTGCACGGGGCCCGCACGCCCCTCGCCCCCCCTGCTGCTCCGGCCCCGGGAGAGAGAGAGGGACTCGGGTGGCATCAACATAGCCGTAGTCCACTCTGGCTCCTCCCTGCTCCCGGAGACGGCGGTGGTGGGAGGCGCGGGGGTTGGCGAGCCGGGTCTCGGGTCCGGTCTGGGAAACGGTCCGGGAGGAGGAGGCGGCGGAGGCGGAAGGGGGGTGACAGATACAGCCTCACTTGCAGGAGTTGTGGCCATGGCCTCTTTGTCCTCCTCAACATACCTGTCGCTGGCAGCACTTTCCACGGAGACGGTGATGACACCATCAGGTCAAGCAAACGTCATCTACCTGGCAGTGAATGAGAGCAGTCCAGGCACATTGCTGCTGCAGCTGTGTGAGCTGCTGGCCACTACACCTCTACAGGTAGGCACAGGAAAACAAAATACTTTTCTTTAAATCTTACATTATGTTTGATTCTAAATAGATATGCATTCTGAGCTACTTAAAGATGTTTCACCTGATATTTCACCTTTGTTTAACTCAGGGTTTGGTGTTTGAGGAGGAGAGACCACCCCCGCCAAACCGTGCCCCTCTGGCCCCAATGCTGGAGTTTGTCTCCGCTCAGACTGGAGTTCCTGTTGTTGCTGTCGGGGGAGGAGCCAGTCTAGGCCGAGAGCCACAGGTAAGCATGAGTTACTTGTTATTGCATCATCATCGTCCCTGTTTCTTTCATCGCAACCAAAGAAAGAACTGACTGTGAAAAACAAGATAGAATGTAACAATTAAAAGATACGAACACGTTTTCCGCCTTCTTGAGCAGATTTCAGTTACAAAACACTTTGAAGTTGTGATCTATATGTGAATGGGAAATTTAATGAAGAGAAAATGTAGAGTAATTTTAATAAAACAATGTCAGTCTTTAGACTAAAAATAGTAAAAAAAAAGTGTCTGGAGAAATATGTACCTCATGTTATATCAAACCTACAAGTTTATTGGTTTGCTGTTTGACAGGAGCAGGTAGTATTCAATTAATTACAAAGAGTGAGTCAGTGAGACCTTTAATGCTGAGGTATCTTATTACAAAGCTTTTCATTACACAATCACAGTTTCTGCTTCTTGCAAAAATGCACATTTCTCTTTAGGGATGACAAATTCCTTAGGCCTGCAGTGTTATGGATATTAAATCCTCTCTATATCTTCTGACAGCAGAAATTGAAGTTCAGTGAGCAATCTCCAATTTATCTGAGATTAAAATCTACAGTGTCAACTTCTTTTAGGAAGACATACTGCTTTGAATGTGCGATGGAGAAGAAAGGCATTGCAATATCTTTCTCAGGAAGGCTTTAGTTTCAGTTGTTGCTATTTGTTAACAGGTCAGCATCAAATTCACTAAGTAGGAAGAGACATTAGTTAGAATATTCATAATATTCAACCTGTTTGAGAATTTTTAAAAAATAAATCAACACAATTGTTTATAAATTGATTGCTTATGTGTTGAGGATAGGCCACAATCAGAGATCCAGATAACAAAGCACTATAGCAATGACAGGTGTGATATTCAGTGAGTGGGCCAGACTGTTTAAAACAGATATATTGACAGCATGATGGGTTATGATTCTTTCATGACTTGGTTGCTGCTATAGTTAACACAGTAAACCTGGCACCAAGCTAACAGCATCTTAAAATATTCATTAATGAAGCAGATTTGTTTACAGCAGGAGGTGAAGATACTTTGAAGTGGCACGAGACATTATGTCATGCAGGTATCATTAACCTTTTAACATATTGCACCTTAATTCATTTCACCCACTTCATATTTGAATTTGTTGCTGTTTTGTTCCTGACAAATAAATTCAGGTGTGAAATGAACACAGCATGTTTTGTCCTTGTGAAGCATCAACTGGTTCCCACCTTCAGGAAGTTGTGTACCTGTTTTGACAATCAGTGATGCAAAGGAATACCCTGTACTTTACTTATTGTCTACTGAAAACTACAGAGATCATGTGTTGTTAAATGTGCATCCTTTTTGCATTCTGACATTTTAGAATCCCTCTATGACCTCTCACATGTGCCTTTAAGCCTCAGTCACTCAGATCAGCCAACTATCTGTAGCTAGAAATGCTGAGGACACAGGAAGCTCAGACAGGATTGGGCTTTTGCTGAGGTGGCTCCTAATAATGGGATAGTTGCTGTTGGAGATTACAAAGGCCTCTTATCTAGCCAGTGCTCAATCCGCTCTCATGACGTACACTTTGGTTTGGCTTTCAACACAATATTTTGATAATGTGTCCAGCTCTTTGATCAGTGCTTGCTTGTTTCAAAGTACTTTTCAAATAAATTTTGAAGTTATTCATAGGCATCTAAATGACAACTGGCCCCTCCGAGCATCAGAGCAACCATCATTTGAGAAGTGGTGTAATGAACTGTCTTAGAAAAATAGCTGAGAAACCTGCTGTATCCAGCATGGAGACATTTGGCTCGTATCCTCTGGCTTTTAGATTATCTTTCCTTTGCTTCAACTTTCAGGATCTCATGACTTGGATTTTTTCTAAGACTTAAACACTCAAGAATCATATCTTCCCAAGTAAATACAAATTTAATAATATCTTGCATTTTGTTTTCTGGTTTAGCTATAATTTATCAAATCTGAACTGAATCAGCATGATTACACAACAAGCTCTCCTGGACAAATGACACAGACTCTAAAAAAGAATGACAAAAACTGAGAAGAAGCAAAATATGAAACAAAAGATGCATCTTTGAAGCACGCTTTTCTACATAATCTGTTGAACACACCATTGGAAACTGTTTTTAAAACAACAAAATATGAATACGCTGTTAGAATTTATGAATAAAAGTTATTTCATTTTCAGTCCCTCTTGTTCCAGGCAGCCAGTTTCCTATTTTTCACTAAGACTTATCTTTTTCTTTAAAGAATAACAAAGCACATTCAAATGTCCTTTCACTTTGACATTAGGAAAGTAGCTAGATCATCTTTCAGTGCTTATAAATGTATTCATTCCCTTTACTTTGTCCCAGTTCAACTACAAATTTAGTTATTTCAGACCACTAAAAAGCAGTGCAAAGTTGCAAAGTGAAAACTATTCACTAGTTGGTCCTTTTCATGCCAGTTAATTGCACTGGATTTTATTCAGAAATTTCAGAATAAGGGGCATTGCACACACCATAGAATTCAATTTGAAAAATCTTATGTGAAATTCTTTTCTCTTATAACATTATGATTCCTTTAGTTGGTCTGTCACATAAAATTCAATTAAAGATATTTAATGTGACAAAATGTGGAAATAGGCATAATGTTGCTATAACAGTACATCAGTGATCACAGTGTTGGGATGATGAATCATCATTTTGTTTTCTATTTTGAAGCATATCAAGAATAAGTAGACCTTGTAGCAATACATTTTCTAAAACGGGGACTTGGGACGCAACATTAGACATTCATTGTTTCTGGTGAGTACTCAAGGGTGCTAGTGAGTTTATTTTTGCTTCATCTTACAAAAGAACTCTGAAACAGTCTTTAGTCTTCAGCTGCAGAATTCACTCCCAGCAAGTTTCCGATAAAACCTTTTCTATGGGAGGTTAAGCAAAGCAAACACACTTACACTGGGAGTCAGTCTGCTGGTTTGATATCTGATATACTTCAGTGCATCATAACTGGAGGTGAGCACTGACAGCATGAGACGATGGAATGTTATTCCCTGGCGTTGTTCCCTTTGATCATCCACATGTATGCACAGATGCAGAGCCCTGATTACTCGTTTTCAGATATTCCCTCAACTCCCGGTAAAAAAAAAAAAAAAAAAAAAAAAAATCATACAGTATTTCAAAGTGCAATTCTTGGAAAAAAAGAAGCATTTTATTTTCTTGCATAAACTTACATTCAGTCCAACCATCTACGAATATGCATTTTGACTTCTTTTTTTATATTTATGTCTTTCAGAGTCTGTACATTGCTCTTGTTTCGACAAAAATACAGTGAAGCCAATGAATTTTTTATTTTATTTTCACAGCTCATCTACTAACATTAAATATGACTGCAGTGGCAGAGAGGAAGGCCATCACTTTTTCTTTCATTCATGCTTGAAAGCTTTCTTTTAAAAGCCAAAACTTGTTTTGACAGACTGCGTCTTTCCTCTGAGCCTGCCCCTCTTAGATTTAAACCAGTCAGACACAACGCAGAAAGAGAGCTGAAATGAATGGGAACAGTGTGACGTTGCCTGCAGATCTGCTGAATAAATATGCTAAATCTTATACCACACATATTCAGTACAGCTGAATGGTGCACCACTCTAATTAGCAGTTTATAGGGGAAAACAATAACTTTTCTGGAATTTAATAAATTTAACTTATATGTGAAATGCACACGTTTTATTTGTGCTTCACGAATTCATTCTCTCTGCTTATAGGAGAGCGGCTCAATCTACCTTCAGTTCACTTGCTCTACAATGCTCCAACTTGAGGTAATCTTCGAAGTCCTTGAAGAATATGACTGGACTTCGTTTTCTGTTGTCACCACCCGTCACCATGGCTATGAGGACTTCCTGGCCATGGTGGAGGGTATGACAGATGGCTCCTTCATTGGCTGGGAAAGGAAGAGCGTGGTGGTTCTTAATGTGACAGACGACCCCGGCGGGGCTCGCACCAAACGACTCCTCAAAGACAATGAAGCCCAGGTGAGTGATGGGAAGCACAAATGCCACTTTTGATTGAGATGTAAGTCCAGGGTAAAATGGTTCATCTTAGCTCAAATCAATTGAACAAAATGGGATTCCAGAAACACCTGCCACTTATCTGAGTGTGCCTAAAAGCCCTTGAAAAGAAAGTGGTTATAAAAAAAATCTAATATCTGTCAAACAACAGTAGAAGTAAGTATCTAAGAATTAAATGTTCCTATCTTTCTTATGTATAACACCGTCTCGTAACTTTTTTTTCCTTTGAGCAAATTATGCTTCTCCCCAAAGAAAACTCACTCATTTCCCTGTTGTTAAACTCATTTGCACACATGTGCATGTACACTTGTACATAAAAATCATAAAATGCATACACAAACTCCAAAAGGTAAACCTGAAAAATATATAATTTATTTACTGGCAAAATAGTAAAGCTAAGTTCTTTTCTAACTAAAAGCTACCTAGTATAACTAGTACTGTTATACTAGTACTGTAGATGTACTACTAGGTTAATTCAAAGAGAATAAACCTCAAGTTGATCAATTTGACCTCATCAGAACGGTGAGGTTACCACAATTGATTGTTTAATGGTCTGACTGGTAATTTTTGTAAATGTCAGTAAAACAAGTCCTAATTTTCTAACTAACCCATTAATTTCTCCAATCTTTATGCAAATATAAGTGTTGATCTGTTAAGACTGTTCACCGCCTCTCATTCATTTAACCCTAATGGAGTACAGTTGTGTTAATTTTAGATCATTCTAATTTCACAGTCACACCTGGAGCAAGTCATAACACTAAAGTTTGCCCGTGATTTTGCAAAGCTATAGATTTATATTTCTTATAAACAAAACATATTGTAGATTGTCACCATTGCTTCTGGGGACATATATCTAATATTCAATTGAAAATTTTTCAGGGCTTCTATGAATGTGTATTATAAATATTTAAACTTAGATTTAGAATCATTCTTGTTTTGCATTTTTGCGGTTCATTCCAAAAATGGAATCTAATATAAATTTGGTATCAGACTGTTTCTCTATTCCTACCCAAAGACTTTTTCTTACCTTTAAAAGATTATGGGAGGTTTCATAAAAAATGCACAGAATGGTGTACTTGCAAGGAGTAATGGTTGAATAAACATTTTGCTTGGCCTTACTGTTGTCTTATTCATGTTGCAGATCTTTTTCCCCACCTCTCTCTTTTCTAATTCTCATCTCTGCATGAGTCAAAGTTACCTGAGATGACCTCTCTCTTTATTGCGTTACCAGTTTAATTTATATTCAATCCTTACTCTCACTTTTTTTTGACTGATATTACAGCAAATGACCTTTGTAAAGATAAGTCTGAAAAAAATTAAAGAAAGACAGCAAGGGCAGCTTGAGCAAAGTCAGAACATTATGTAATTATACTGAAAGTGATGTGACATGTTAAAGGGGGGACATAAAAGTAATTGTGATGTGTCAGATTATTTTTGACTCTACAGCTCTGACTCTTCAGACATATGCTATTCCTTTTAAGATATGTTTCCTTATTTTTTGTTATTGTCACAATATTCAGAATATTGAATCCAAGAGTCGAAATTAGACATTATTTAGAAAAATGTCAGCAGCTGACATTCTACTGGCATTCTTCTAAATACCTGCTTAAGCGATTTCTATGGCAGCTGAATTATTCTTTCCTGCTTCCCCCTCAGAGACCCACCTCCTCAATAACAAGGATAAATAAAAATCTGACCGTGATGGATGGGTCATGTTTTTGGAAGTTCTCCAAAAACATGCCTGTTTTTGCCTTTCCGACCTCCTTTGCTCTCAGACTTTTGTCTTCTTGTTTCCTGTGTCAGCATCATCAATTTAAATTTGGTATTTTCAACAACTATATGAATGTGCATCTCCTTGGAAAAAATATAAATTTTTTCTGTGTTTACCTTGAAATTTTAGAAGCAGCTTTTGTTGATGCATGCTGTATAAAGTACAATATTTTTGGCCATGACAGAAAAAATTAACAACTGCAAGCTATTCGTAGGGAAAGTCACCAGTCTATTTTTATCAACTGCTTCTGTTATGTTAAATTTGTGCAAACAGGAGTTTCTTTATCAGTTTAAGAAAAGCAAATAGAGTTCTTGATGAGCTTGCACAGTGCCAGGATTCCTCAATTGGAAGTAAAGACACATGTTTCCATTAAAGTATAAAAGAAGAGTATCTAAAAGCTTTACTTGTAAGTGCAAGTCAATGTCAGTCAATACTAGGGCGAGTACATGCAGTTTTCCGCCCATGAATGCAATGGCTCTCAGACCATTTGCTATGCAAGACTCCGCTGCTAAAGAAAAAAAAAAAAAAAACATGATGGGGATTGTTTATCTTTTGATGCCAAAAATATGGACAAACCAGCAAGACACTTATAACCTCTTAAGAAAAGACTAAAGCTGAACTCTTTCGGTAACATTTCTTACAACAGGTTAGGAGGAAGAATAATTCTGCACTTTACACCAGAAGGGAACATCATAGTGTCTTATAATATAATGTATAGGGAACATCCTGCTGTCTTATTATTTATTGTAAGACAGCCCATAGTTAGAAAATCTATCAATTTTTCAATAACTGAAAAATCTAATCTTTTGATTTGATAACTGAATTAAAGATCAATAGAAAAATGTACTAAACGTTTCTTGATGAGAATACAGAGATGAAATGAGTGTGGAATGCCAGGCAAGACAATAGTCCTGAACACACAGCTCAGGGACGTCACAAACTGCATTTTTATTGAGTGAAATCCTTTATGAGTCAATCCACTTGTTTTCATAATAGTCCTCCATTAACACAACTCAGGACATCTATTGATTTCGAAACTCATTCAGAATGTTTTTGATCCTGATTTTCTCCTACTGCTTTAAGTACCTTGATTTATTTAACTCTTAGTGAAAAAAAACAAGCAAAAAAAACGTTTTCTTCCTGTGAAGGTTTTATATTTCTTGCTGCGTTGGTGGCAACTGTAATGATTGTAGCTTGTGGGTTCCTGTAACTGAGGTATGCACAAATGATAAGAATTCATCTTTAAGAAAACTTTTCTTTTTCAAACATTTCTTTTCTTGCCCGGACTTTGTTTTGCCTTCATCTGACAAACAAGCAAAGACGTCAAATTAGGTTTTTACCACCAATTGCCGTTTTTTTAAGTTTAGAAAAATTCAGCATGTCCATTCTATTTTTTTATATTTCTTTTCATTTGAAATGAGTTCACAGTTTTTGAAAAAAAAAAAACATTGATTTTCTATCTTTCAATTGTGAAATGGGTAGCTTGTTCTCATGGAATTTAATCTGTGAATTGTTCAGATTTCTTCTAAAAGCTTTGCAATAAGAAAGTATTAAATTGTCTTCACACATACACTCTGTAACCGAGTCAGTACTGGAATTATTGATTTCATTTGGCTCCTCTGCTCTGATGTGACAATAAAAAGATTTATGTCTTGCAGAGACTTTGTGACTTTTCTCCTTAAAACAATGTTTCTTGTCACTTTTATGCTATTTTATTACTGCACCTGATTCTTTATTTACACATTGGTGTATTTAAATTGATATTTGAAGACTGTATTTATTATATACACCTCAAATTAGAAATAGCTTGTGTTGATCCATCCAAAAAATGTCCTTCTCCTGAAAAATATAGACAGACCTATAACCTCTGAGAACCCTGTTAATATGAATGCATTGATGGTACGTGTTATGTTCGTAATCTAAAGCACTGCAGCACTGTATGAGCCATTTATTTTACTTCAGAGCTTGCTGTTGCTAATTAGCATACGGCAGGCATTGCTTGATGATTTGTATCTCAGTACTGTGACTGGTAACCAAGGCAGCAGGCATGCTGGTTTTCCTCTGCATGCCTCACTTAAGGTTATCATTACAGAACCAGAACACAAAATGCATGACAAAACACACATTGTGAAAGAAACCAGATGCAGAATGCGTACTTGTTGCCTTTGTTTTACACTTTAATTTGATTGCTAAGAAGTTTACTTCTAACCATAGTTTAAAGTTATTCAAGTGACACATCCTGAAAGCTTCTTAAATCATCATAAGTTCATATCAACCCAAATTCTCTGAGACGAGGAATGGAATTATATATATTTCAAAAAAGATTTGAGATTATTACAGGCTTTTGGACTATTTCTTTTCTCATTTTGTCTTTGTGTAATGGAATCAAACAGGATACCGAGGGGGAAAAAAAATGTACTGGCTACATCATGAATAAATGTTAAAAGATGAATTGATTAACGCAGAAGACACCTCTGTATAATAAAACAATATGCAAATGATGTTGGTAACTGAAGGAAAGAAAAACAGCATCATATATAGTGATAGTAGAACACACAATGTCATTGTGTACCATGTTATTATGACTTTTTATAGACATGATAAAAACACTAAAGAGAAGCACTTACTTGGTCCCAAAACATAACATTTTAACTAAGATAAGTTAAGCAACAAAAACAAACTAGCTAAATTATGGAATGTGGATACTAAAGCTAAGCTTGCCAAGAGATAACCAAGGCAAAATCAAGCTATTAACTCGACTGTCCATTGCAGAAAACCACACAATGGAAGGATTAACTTAGAAAAGGTTCGAAGCTTTGTCATTCTCTCATTAATAACTTTTAAATAACCAAACGCAAATTTCAACAGCACAGATTTAAATCAAAACTGCAGTGAAACCAGCACGATGTCTTCCCTATATGTGGATGCAGATTTATTTTGCTTGGTACAAGATTTCTAGTGTGATTAAGACAGTTAAGTTTTGTCAAAGTACAATATGAAGACTCACAATTGTCTAAAGAAATTCACAATGGAACACTGATGCTTAAAAAAAATGGATGCCTGTTCTGACAAAGTGATTAACGACACATTTAAAGAAAAAAAGAGTTTTTGTGGGTTGTTTGTTAAGGTAGCAGTGAACATCTTTCTTCAAATATTAGACCAAAACAACAATTTACAAGAGGAAAAAACAGATCATTTTCAGGAGATACAGATTTCATATACAAAAGACTTTGAATGAGTGCTGACTGCTGGAGGTGTGTGACAGGCATTGAATGTCTATGTAGACCTCATGCCGACCTTGATCCTATGCGCTGTCGGCTGAGTAGGAGGATCGGCGTCATCCGGCCATCTTCTCTGACGTGAGTCACAGCAGTAAACACGCAGCATGTGATTCAAACGCCACACGCCTGCTGCTATTACTGCTGGTATTCCATATTCCAGTGTTGACTGATTTGAGTTTTTATACCCGCACTCATTGTCTTCCGAAATGGTGGCACACATTTTCCTCAAGTGCTTCCTCTGAGCAATCATCTCAAGGATTCTCATAAACCCCCAACCCCTAAACACACACACACACACATAGTCAGACTCACACAGATTCATTTACCCTCCCATTTTTTTAATAACGTATGAATGGAAAAAGAAAATGCAATCAGAACAAGATTCCTCATTTTTCAAGTACAGCTAATTTAGCTAAAAATAAACTTAACAAACGGCAGAAATCTGTTAGATGCCAATGTATAAATGAAGAAAATGTATAATTGTGAGAGAAATTTATAAAATATCATAGAATCAAGTAAGAAAGAATAAAGAAAAAAACACTGATGATTAAAATGGGATCCAGTTGTTCACCTGCATCTATCACCATGCTTCATTTTAATTGATGCTGTACTTTATTACCCTATTGATTATGGACACCATCTGAACCCCTCTGTCTTATCATTCACCTCCAGGTCCGTCTGCTCTACTCCTCCCTGGAAGAGGCTGAGCTGATTTTTCGGGCAGCCTGGGCAGCGGGTCAGGCTGGGCCGAGTCACATGTGGTTTGTCGTTGGACCCGCCCTGTCTGGACTGGGATTGGAGGGACTGCCAAAAGCCTTGTTTGCCATCAGGCCTCAGGGCTGGAGGGACGAACCACGCAGGTAGGCACCAAGCAGATGGTTCCCTACTCGTCTGTTTGGGTTTTATGTTGCAATAGATTTTTAGTTTTTCCAATAAAATTAATGGCAAACTCATTCCACCAAATCAGCTCTTCCTTCCACTCTATCACAAAGCCTAACGCAGCTAAACTCAATGAAGCCCACGCATAGCAAAAGTCAAAAATATTTTTTCAGAATAATATTGCATTAAAAACATAACCTATACATTAAGTACCTATTTAATGTATAGGTTATGCATAATATTTATTTTAATTTCCCTTTAATTTTCTCATGTTAGTACCCATGCAACACATGTATTTTAGTATGCCAGCACACTGGGAAAGATAGGACACTGTGAAAGCAGCTTAAGCAAATGTCTAATTACTCCAGACACAGTCGGTGAACCACTGGATTCTCTTGAGTTAAAACCTTCCTCAGGAGTTGTTAAGTGACTAAAATGTCACTTAACATTGGCCATTGTATGTGTCTGCACAGTTAATTGATTACAATTTACTAAAATGGATTTGTTGTAATGCCTGATTTCTCCTATTTCAGAAAGTTTTTTTTTTTTTTTATTCCTAGTTTGATGTATTTTTTTTTCTTAGCTGAATGAAGAATTTAAAAGGATTAGGAGAGTTCTGCACTTCTGAGCCTTTAGGCACCAAAAACCCAACCAGATGATCTGAAAAATGCATGAGGATCAGTGGGAAAATAAACATTCTCTTCTTTATCCTTGATAAACACTTTTTGCAAATCCAGGTTCTTTTAGCTTTGCAACACACATAGGTACACAAAACCGTTTTAAGACAACACCGCTCCATGCATGTTCCATCCTCCATGACCTCATTTTACTGCCAAGCTTTTCTCCTTGCTTTTTCTAAATGGATTGACTAAGTGGATCAAGGTGAGAAGTACCATAATTGTTTCTCCTTTTACTTTCAAGGAAAGAAAAAACAAAAAATAAAAATGATTTTAAATAAGCTTCACAATGCAGAAAAAATATGAAATTCAACAGTAATTTTATTCTGTATTTCCACATTACAAGTAGCTAATTTATTAAATTGAAAAGATATAAAAATAAACACTTGTAAAGAATACATTACTATTTCATGTCTGGTTTTCTGTCATTGACATGTCAAAATACAAGTTTTTTAAAGGTTAGCGTCCATCATGAATCCACTGACATTTTTGACAAGCAGCATTTTGCCTACATCAGACTTGCAGAACCAATTTTTGCACATAGAAAGCCCAAGAGAGCAGCAGAGTTGTCACTACCGTGCATATTGTTGTAATTCGTTCTGAAACACAGATGTAAGAAGACAGGGGCAGCATACTTAAAGGGATGTGATAAACAGAGACATGTCCCTTTAAATAGTTAATGGAGCCCAGCACCTCCTTCCCAGGTGAAAAGGTTGATTCAGTGTTTAACCTTTCTGGAAAGAAAACATAATTCTCCTTGAATTAAAATCCACTCTTTTACCACAAGTTGGTATATAAATCATTATGAAGATGTTTTAAAATAAATTTCCCTTTTACTTTTTCAGTTCAGTATTTTAGTTCATAATACATCTCAAAAACATTTCACATTTTGCTTGTTAAAAACTTGACATTGGCTTAAATGAGATTCTCTAAATATGAAGATCAAAAGTACCATAATTTTGCAATGTTATGATTTACTGAATTATGTATAACTTAATGTTTTTTACTTTATGTAGAAAGAAAAAAATAGACTGTTGTTACTGCAGCTGGAATAACATGCTATGTTAATGTACCATGGAAAACTAAGAATTTATTAATACAATGTTTATTGGTATCTTAAAATCTTTAATTAATAGTCAATATTTTAGTCACTTTACTGGATTTGAAATTAATGTTGGTAATTTTTGGAGCTGGTGATACTGGACTTGATAAAGTGCTATTCAAGTAGAGGCCATTTATCATTTGTTCTTCAGGATTAATTATTTTTAACTTTATATCTGTTTCAAACAAAATCCATAGTGATATATCCAGGGATTGAATATGAAGACACTGTGAACTACAACATGAAATCAAATGATATTTGACAGATTATGAATCCTTACCAAACCAGAAAAAAAACAAAAACAAAAAGAAAAAACCCTGCAACAACTACAACCTCCGGCTGGTAGTTTGTTATTTACCACATGAAGTCACATTTCCTTCATGTAGACTATGTATCAACCAAAATGATGGTCGGTATGAAATATCTAGAGGTAGATAATATACTAATTGTCAAAGTAAATTTCTTTTCTAATAAAGGGGTTTACATCATGACAAAAGATGGGTAAATATGGTTAAAATTTCCATTTTTTGTAGGTTTATAAATCTGTAACAAATACAGAAATTGTCGAGTTACAAGATGAGGAACAATGGCACTAAGCCCTTATCTTAGTTTTATATGCACAGTGTAATTTAATGGTATGGTTGGATTTATGTTTCCTGGGACACTGCTTTGACTTTTCTGTCAGTTTCAGAATATACAATGCAATAGGAAGACATAATAACAAAAGACAAAACAGCTCTGTTTTATTGGGTTTGTACTTAGTTGATATTAAAACATTTAAAAAAAATTAAAAAAAAACAGGACATTTTCACGGTTTAAGATCTCAATTTTTGGCCTTAAAATAAAGTGCCTATTTCAGCTGCATTAGTATTTCTGCCACAGCACTTTGTGGTTGCTGGAGATTCTTCAGAGAACTTTTCTTCACTGGAAATATGTGATAATTGTGACATGGATCAGTAGTTCTGTGAATATAATAATAAAAAAAACATGTCCCTTTTTGCAGAGTTTGGAATTTCACCCGCAGCTAAACCGTTCTTTCAAGTCATATGTAAAATTAAATTGTCACTGCTTCATAAGCTGATTCAAAACATCAAACCCTGCAAGATAAGAATTTCATTTATCACAACTTCATCACTTTTACTTCCAGTATAATCAGGAAGCATTCCAGAAGAACATGTAAGAAATAAATTATCTGTTCCTGTTTGAAATGAAAGCAAGAGGAAAAGCTGAGTGGTTGTTTCCACTCCTTAAGCTACTTTTTGCTCATTTTTGTGGATGTTTATGTATGTGTGCCTTTTAATGCTGGTCAAATTGTTTTACTCTCATCTGGATAGTTTTTGTGTTCACAGAAATGTTATGGTTTATTGTGTTCCCAGTGTATTGTTGGTTTAGCTTCTTTGTGTCAGGAAGTGTGGGTGTCGTGATGGTGGGCAGACACTTGTAGATCCAGGTAAAGATGAATGATGGTTTTAATGACTGATGGTTTTAATGACTGAATTTAACTAAAAACACAATCCAGAAACCAGTCAGCACAGCTGAACGGAAACTAAGGTTCAACGCTGGTAGCGGCAGGTTATATGACTGAATGTCACAGCAGAACGGACAGACTGGGATCACATTAGACAACGACCTGATGAGGGACAAATAACACAGGTGGGGTAAAATACAGAGGGTAATCACAGAACGAGAAACACCTGGGAACAATCAAGGGGAGATAGGACAACATGGAGACTCAGAGACACAGAAACTCAAAATGAACACACAGGAAAACAGATCATGACACTTTGAGTCTTAGTGGAATTTGCATGTATTTCTTACCGTCTTAGTTTAAGTGGTTTTACTTCTCTTAGTGCATTTCTTTCTCAATTTGTTTTGGTTGTTTAATTTTTGGTTGACTTTCCTCTAAGAAATGTCTCTGGATCAGGGTCTGAGGACTCTTAGGCATATCGTTGTATTCTTGGCTATAATCTACTGACACATTACAGCACTTGGACTTAAATTGAAACACCCAGAAAACATGTCAGCTAACATGACGGCATGAATTGTGACACTTCCAATTTCTGTTGTTTTGAACTTTTAAACTCTTGCTTTTTCAGCTGCTTTGTGAGCATTTTCAATGTCTGAATTAAAAATGTGATAACATTAAAAATAATTTTAATGTTGTTTTTTTGGTTGCTTTGTTTTCTTTTTTTTATCATCATGTCAAATGGAATCCAAGAAATAATTGATAGGTTTTGTTAGAAAAAAATCAGTTGTGTCAACAGTTAAATAAGAAAGTAGTGCCTTCACAAAGAGTCAGCATTCTTTCAAGCTTTCCACAGATCAATGACTGATCTATTAATATTTCCCTAAGACAGACAACAAGATATTTTTATTTACTGAGCACCTGAATAAATTTAGAACGTTGACTTTGATGCATGATACTGACACTTGCTGTGTTAGATTTAGATCTATCAACATGATTTGCTTTATTTTTCTTCATTTAAGCAGTCATCAGCAGAGGAATTATTCATGTAAAGCAATAATTCCAACTAACAGAACAACATTCATACATTCAAGGCAATGTTCATGCCCTGAACATTGCCTTAACACCTCCCCTTTCCTTCTTAATATATTATTTCCTTTTTTTGATTCATTCATTATGTTTTAGCATCTTTTTAAATCAAACTACTTTTTAGATATGCTGTGCTTCCATCTACGGTGTGGTGCATATGGATTCATATCCCATGCACCTTTTTGCTTTGACAGATTGCAATCATAATAGCAATATTTAGTTTTCTATTATGTCTTAGCTAATAAAAATCAAGTCCAAGAAGCATAGCAGATTAAGGGCTAAAGGTGGTGCAGTTTACTTAGGGTTATTCTATAAACAACGTCCTAAGCTTAGAAGATCTCATAGAGCTCTGTTCAACCCATCATGGCTAAAACACAATGAGGAAAAAGTCTTACTTAGGGCATAAGTATGGAGGTGCTGCTGAGATCTATTGCCCGGGCTACTCTCAAAAGCTCCCAGGAGGTGATAGAATCTTTTAGCAGGACACCTATTAATGGTGCACTTAACAAATCTGTTTTTATGGAAGGGTATAAAGGAAAAGACCATGAGAAAGATGTTTAAAAATCATCACCACTGTGAAGGGAACAGGGAAAACATTTTGAAGACTGTTGCTATGACACAATTTTCAAGGGTACCAACCAATTTTTTCAAATTAACTGTTAAAGTCTAAATATTTCAGTCAAAGGGCAAAAAGAAACTGCTACTTTAATCATGATCTGGTCTATCACAGAAATGTTATGATGCTAAACGAGTGTAGCAAAGTTTGGGTGCCAGGTAGTGCATTAAGACACTGGTTCTTTTTTTTTTTTTGGCATATTCACCCTTTAAAAGATTAAATACCTCATAAAGCTTGTTTTCTTTGCCTCTCCCACTTGTTTTAAGTTGATGACACCTTCAGTGTTCATCACTCTTCTTGAGATATTTGATCTTGTGTGACATCTATTATCACTTCCACCAAGTGTGTCTGCTTGCAGTTATAAAAGCAGCATAATGGATGTTTGTAAATCTATATTTTATTTTAAATTCATCCCATCTTTTTCTATAGTTGCAGGGAAGATGTTGAAAAGCCAAATTGCTTACCAAAGAAGTTCAACATTTAGAAAGCTACTCTAATCTTGTGACTACATGTCAAATAAAGTGAGATTAGCTGTGTTTACACAGTTTTGCTGATGTGCAATGTGACATTACTTTTGAAAACATGCACAGTTTCTAAGTCATGAACATTCTCTAGAAGAATCCTGGGTTTAAAGTGTCAATTTCCTTTACTAAATCCTCCAAAATCACTGCACCTGCTTTGACCTGATCAAATAAAGATTTGGCCTGTTTAATGCAGATGCAGTCAGCAAGCTTGGTAGATTATTAATAACAGAAATCAAATTTTGAATGAGGTAAGTAATTAGTTGATTCTAAGTACCTTTTAATTTGATTTGCCAATTTGGAGATACTTTGAAAATGTAGATAAAATCATTATTGCCCTTTGACAACATGCCAGATCAGATCCTGTGTATTTGAAGATTGGCAGTTCTGTCGCTCAAGTCTGCAAGTCACCATAAAGGCTTGAAACATCAAAAATGAATGGAATTCCTTAAGATTTTCCATTTCAAATTTGTAAAAGTCATCTTGCATGTGAATTACATATATTATAAAGAATTATGCTACACAGAGCAATTTTGTTATTCTCCTTTTAATAACTCTTGTCAAAACTTGTACATCTGAACCTATAATTTATGAGCCCAAACAGATTGTTGATGATGTTCTGATGTTGAGCTTTATTCTGTGGTATGAATTACATTTCTTTTTGCCAAATGGGAATTGTTGTTGTCCATTTACATTAACATAGAATTTACTGAAAACAAATAAGACCTTGTTTTCAGCCACAGATAGCAGAGAAAGTTAGTAGAAATATGTTGAAATTTTGGCCAACAGTGCCCACTTACACACGTCCACCACACCACCAGAGATCTGGTACATGACCACACCACCAGAGATCTGGTACATGAGGCTTGTGATTGTCCATCAAACAGGATTCAGGATATTATACAGAAAGGAGTTTGATGGCAATTAGAAGATAATTCAGCCCTCTGCCTATAAATACTGTTTTGTTTTTTCCTACAAAAAATAAATCAAGCAACAAATGTTAATTTTCTATCATTATCAGCATACAAGATTTCAGAAGCTCTAAAAATAACCTAAAACATTTTTAGCAATTATTGCTGTGTAAAGTGATCATTTAATGAGGCTCCTTTCACCCTCCAGGCTTAATTTGTTGTTACCAACGTGTTTACTTTAACCCATCCTTATCTTCAAAATTGGCTTATCTCGGATAAGTTACATTAAAACAAAGATGATAAGCTAATAATTAGGTATGTTGGATTGTATTTTGTATTCAAATATTTTGTTAAATTAAAAGAGGATTTAAGGATTTTTACTGTTTACTTTATAGAGCTGCGGGGTATATTTTATTTCTTTCTGCAATTTGAAGATTTCCACATCTTCAGGTGTACAAGCAAGCTTTTGGGCTTCCATGACACTTGCCCAGTCAGTCTGTCTTTTCATAAAATTCCCTTGGACCTCAGCAGCGTCAGAGAAAGACCTTTAAAATGTCCTATTATCCCTGGCTCACATTCTTCTCTTGGCTATCTTGCAGACGTATTGCCAAGGGAGTTTCAGTGCTCACTCATGGGGCGATGGCTCTGCGAAGGGACCAGGGGGCCAACAGTCGAGCCCAGTATGCAGGGAACTGCCAGAGTGATGGAAACCAGACCCACCGAGTGCCAGACAGGATCAGGTGAGAGGGCGGAAAACTGAGGGGATTGCTTTGATTATTATTGCAATATAAAGCTTCAATTGGAAGGAGTGAATGTTGTTCCATACATTTGATGGGGTATCCACATTCAGAGCAAAGAAATGCGTTGCTTAGATCTCACAAGTCTCAGTGAAAGTTGTGAATGAAGGAAGCTTAACATTGTTCTATTATTTGAATTTCGTACATGTTTTGTGTTCACCTGTAGACTAACACTATACTGATTGACTGTCTCTGAGTGTGATACTTTTGAAGCTGGATTATTTTTTATGCCACTGTTTATTTTCCAGTAATATTAAATGCATTTCATTATCAATTTAAGGAACATAAAAGAGGAAAACAAAGAAAAACAAGATATTAAAAGTTCTTTACTGCAACCAGAAAAAAACATCCATTAATCTATTATGAAGAAATAAGTTGTTGGCAGTAACCATCCTGGGAAATAGTTTCTAGTTTTTTTTATACACAACTAAATCATTCAGAGTCAACAATAGATGTGTTGTTGGTTTTCTGTTTAAACTACAAACCAAAAATATTAAACAGGGAACACTATTAATACCAGTTTTATTATTACAAATAACCATATTAACTAAAAAAGACATTTTAAAATTTTGATTTCCAAAGGAAACAAAAAATACATAAAACAAAGACGCAAAACAAACGTTGCGTTTTTATTTTTTTTATTTATTTAGGCGATGCAAACTTCTGCACAATCTCTGAGACATTCAAACAGTCACATTTTAGACAATTTAATTTTTCTGTCCAGAGGGAATGCAGATATGAGGAAGGGACATGTTCCAGGTTTTGACTGCATGCTTGATTGGCTGCTGCTCTCTGGCCCGTTGCCCTTAGGGAACTGTTTGGAGGAATCCGATTTTCCTGTTTTCAGCTGACGGCTGTTAACCTGCTGCCACTCGGACTCTGGATATTTAAATTCAAATTTACAAATGCAACTGTTAGAGAATTGAGTGGTGGAATATCCCAAAACGTACTAAAATTTATATATTTATGAGGAACTTTTAATTTTTTTTACTTGTGAAGTGCAATTCCTGTCGTTTTTCTGACATGTAATTATTGATTCAGAGTGTTAAATGGACTTACTTCTGATCTGGAACGCAAAACCAACATGTACAAAAATAAATTTTTCAGAGACAGTAGATTGATGTCAGCATAACATCTTTCTAACACAAACAAGATTTCAGAAACCAGATGAATAGACACTACTGGTTGAATTCCAGTTCTTTTATATAAAGTTAGCCGTTTCACTTTAAAAATCGGTGAAACGTTCTATGCCCATCACAGTCTTGCTTTTCTATTCTCTCAATCAATGACAGGGTTGTCTGTCATGCTGACAGGTATTGTGGCTCAAGGCAGTCTTGTTGAAAAGCAGAGATAGTCCCCCGTACTGTTGCATGAATGACACTTGTAATACATGGAGGATTTTATTCTCAAGTGATACACCCTTTCTCTAAGATGTTTCTGTTTTGACAAAAGTCAAGTCAAAGCTGGTACAATTGTGAAGCTACATTCACATGTAAATATGTAAGAATTTAGGACACAAAGAATTTCTCACTTTGAATAAAAAATAAATAAATAATAAAATAAAATACTGTGTTGCAAACACAGCTGCATATGGCTGCATCTGAGCCCCTTCTGCCTCTGGCCATTCATAAATCATTGGCTACATCACTCTCATGGCTAATAAAACCTAAACTGCCTTACTCTTTAGATTTGACACCTCTCCAGTTCATTACCTGAACCTGCAAACCTAACAATAGCATGCTCTCTTAAACACCGTTATGTCATCTCAGCTCTTTCAGAAATCAGAACCCGATTGCCAGAAGTTGTCTCAATCCCAGTTTGAAGTGTTTGTGAATGAATCGACAATCTCACTGGAGTTTACTGTTTCTCTTTACTTGTAACCATGGCTTTAAGCATGCAATAAGCATAAAAGATAATGAGAAATACAAAGTAGATTTTACAGGAAAAGGAGTAAATTTTCTTAAGATTTTTAGAGAAACTATGAAAGCCCATGTTTTGTTTTTTTTTTTAATATGAAGTAAAGGTTTTATAATCTGCAAATTGTGCCTTAAAAAATCTACAATCATATTAAGGTAATCCATTCCAGGTTTGTGCATTTATTGTAGCATGTGTGGTTTCCTTTGTAATTAAGGGTTGTCAGCAAATCAGGCAAAATTCATTAGGTAACTCAATATGACAACACAGATCAAAAGCTACTTCCTTTCTTGCTTTGAAATGAGATTCTCAAACACATGCAATAATGGTCAAGCTAATAGCACACAACTACATACCTAAATCTCATAAAAACTCATACCACCTGGACAGTTGAGAGATATCAAAAGATTTCAAGATCTTACGGCAGTATCCACTTGGAACTGTATCTATATCCATAATCTGTGCACTTGATATAAAAGGTTGGCTCTCCCAGATGGTCTCTTATCCATCAATCCACTGATCATAATATCAATGTGACAAAAGCTTTGCTCCCTTCAAGTGTGAAATTGCAGCCGAGGCTTGTTTCATGAGCCAGAAATGTCGAATCAAGTAGCATTTCAATGGTTTTTGTCATCATCAAACTGGTATTTTTACCAGTCTCAGTAAAAATGTAAATCTGTCATTGGAAAGTTTGAGATTTTCATCTTGAAAGAATTGCTGCATTTACTGTTTTTTTTTTCTTTTCAACAATTTATTGGAAGCGTGCATTCTAGGAAATTGCTGTACTTTGAATAATGTCATGTTTTTGAATGTTTTGCACAGAGCAAGATTGCATACTCACATCTGTATCAGCCACACACATAAAAAATATAATATTCGTTTCACAGATCACCCTACTACTGCATGCATATCATAAAACATAAAAAGAGGACAACTGATCACCGTAAATACAGCTTCATAGCAAGAATGCACAAATGAATCTTAAAGGGCCACAAATAAATTCTTCAGTCTAAAGTCTTTAAATAACTTAAGCTGCTTAAGATACTTCTTCTAATTTGTATTTTTTGTTTAAACCAGACTGTCTTTTATTGAGTGTACAATAAACCTTGATATTGTTATCTTTCATACAAATTCAAAATGTTTTCCAGCTAGAAAACATGCTAACAGTTTTCTCCACAGGTCGTTTTTCGTCACAAGTCCGAAATGTAGGCACTGCTCTGTCTTCTTCACCGCATTAATTTTGTTGTGCATCCATCTGAGTCTGGCCAACATTTAAAGCTGTCTACTCTCTCTACACAATCACTATTGGTGGAAACATGGGTCAGTTTCAAAATTTGTTATTTTCTTTTCACAGTGCTGAGAACCCAGTTACCATCTGTCCACCATGTGTCCAGTCGGTGTATCTCAGCTTTATGGGCTTTCTTATTGTCTCCTGAAATGAGTCAGTGAGTGTGACAGTGATGGTTATGGTTATGATGGTGTTACTGGAATGGCATGCAGTGCATTTATGAGTGTGCTGTGATTATAGTAGTGGAGTCAAAACACAGCCATGCAAGGAACTGGTGCTGAAAGCAAAAGAAGAGTGATTACCAATCTTTTCTGGCTGGGGTTGATTGGTAAGGAAAGCATCATATATTCACTTGATAAGCAAACCAGTTCCGGTTCAGGGCCGGTAGAAGAATGATTTCAATTTGCTTTAGTTTAAGAAATAAAGGTGACTATCAGCTATGTCTGAAGTGAATTATGACCCGTATTTATAATTTTTTAACATTTTATATTTATTTAATCTCAAGACATTTGGCTAAGTGGACTCAGCCGTTTATTGCTCAATTCTAGACAAGTGATATATCTACGTTTCAAAATAAACAAGTTCATTCTGTTTCATAATGAGTGTAAAACCTGTGTGTGGAAAGCAGATATGGATTTTAAAGCTTTCTGTACTGCTTGGCGCTAAATGTGCAATCACCTCTCCGGTTTGGTCTGTGTTGGGTGAGAAGAACTTTCACCTATTGTGTGGGTGCCCATAACTTCCATGCTAAATCCTATATGGGTAATATATGGAACAAAAACCTGTGCCTTTGCAAATCCACATGATCTCCACTAATCTCAAAGACTGGAGTTACTTTCTTTCGTTGGCATCCTTTGAATTTTGTGTCATTCACTTAATGTATTGATTCATTATAGGATCCTCTGGCATTTGCCTGATAAAACTTCCTTATGCCATTTGGTGGCTATTCTAACAACTCTTTAGTAACAGTTCCTCTTCCTTCATAGTGTTTGTGTATGTGTATGTGCTGCAGTCTGCAAAAAAGGAGAATATGTTTCATCGACTTTAAGGGTACAGACAGATAAAACATATTTAACTTTCAAACTCTAAGTCTTTACTTGTGCTTCCCTTTTTAAAAGATCAAAGTCTCTTGTCTGAGTTCACAGACATACTGAGCAGTGATATCTGTTGTGAGGCTTTTCTATGAAAAAGACAGTTTCTGTATTCTGTTTTTTAAGAAACCAACATTTAACGAAAACAATCATTACTCTTGCTGACTATTGAACAATAGTGTTTTTATTCACAACTGAAAACCCCTTGACAGTTGGCTCAGGTGGTGTGAAAGCAAAGCACAATACAATAAAATTAAGTATAATAAATGACTCTGGAAATATGAAACCACTTAAAACAAAGTTCATTTGAAGCTGATATTAGAGCTTTATTAACTTGGTTTCAAAAGTAATGAGATCAGAGTTTAAATTGTTGATTCTGCAAACATAGTTTCACACCATACCTCATAAATCATTTACACCATGATGCAAAGTGTGTTTAAATAGCCTCATCAACATTGTGCTTTATCTTTTAATGAGAGGCGTTTGAAAACAACCTCCACACATTTTGCTGCTTTCCTTCCTAAAAGTCTCTATTGACGAGTCTGTTGGCTTTTTGTGTGTGCTAACAGCTAAAACCAATGTGTATTTTAGAAAAAAGGCACCACTGTCACAGCCTCGTGACCCTAATCATTCACCAAAACGCCAGAAAT